CAAGCGAAATTTTTTTTGGAATAACGTGTTTCTGAAATTTACGTGTTTTAAAAATTGAAATCAAAATTTCCATGGCAACAGCTAGGGCGAATTGTTTAAGTTGGGTAGGCGGGTGTTGGGTGTTAATAATAAGTATCAGTATAGAGTTACTTTCGTAGATGTCAAGTCAGTGAAAGGTGGGGGTGTCTAAATTTGAAACGAAAGATGTATTGACACTCGTCTAGTTTGCATGTCTATGGAGATTTATTTATTTTTTTATTTTATTCTTTTATGAAAGGGATTTGTGCATATAAAAAACAAAAAACTGTCGTAACGTGTTGACTTCAGTGTTTACTTATATATATATATATATATATATATATATATATATAGTAAAGGTAATAAATCCGTTGATATCTAATCCAAGTTTATCCTAGTAATAGAAAATATTAAAACTGATCCACAAAGAGAGCTCACTGTATTTAGTATTACAGAGCAAATAATTAATATCCAACAAAATCCCAAATCGCCTCATATGGAGAATAAGTTTATTTCAATCGACAAAATCGGTCAGTCTTATTCAACCCCGGAATAGACTGAGGTCATGTCGGAATTAGAAATTTAAATGTGAAGACTACGAAAAAAAAACCAAAACGTTGATAAACTAATACAGAATTTTTGTGGAAGGGGGAAATATATATTAGTCCTATATATATATATATATATATATATATGTGTGTGTGTGTGTGTGTGTGTGTGTGTGTGTGTGTGTGTGTGTGTGTGTGTGTGTGTGTGTGTGTGTGTGTGTGTGTGAAAAGTGTATATAAATATAAATCAATATATATGTATAATTATTTATATATTATATGCGCGGTACTTATTAGAAAGCGCTCAATATCAGAGATAGAGCTAACATATTTGGTTGGATAGATGTGAGTTTGTGACCCTGGGTTTCACGCTTTAGCGATCGTCAGACAAACTGATTAATGTTTTAAAAAATTGGGTTTATGTAGATTATATATATATATATATATATATATATATATATATATATATATTAAAGATGAAAAGCTGACTTGAACTCTACTCATGCACATTTATAAACTTTTATGCATAGTTCGACGTCAGCATAATTTATTCCATTCTTCAATTCCTATTCTGTGGAATGTGTCGATGAGCGGAATTCTTCGCAGAATATCGCTCGCTGATGTGCATTTGATAAATTACTTTAATCTCACATAAAGTAAAAAATCCAATGTGACAGGGAAAGAGTAACTAAGAAAAATATATTTTTGCTTTACAAAACTTAGGTGAAAGGAGCAAACGTTGGTTCATATGAGTAACGGCAAGTCTAGAGAAGTTCTTCTGAAAATTACCTAAGATAAGTAGATGATTGTTGGTTACGAACCCACTCTTGGTTATGTTGGAAAGATCAAAAGAAAGTAAAATCTCGCATTGCTTTTATAACAAGCATGTAAACATTTTTAAGAGCCTCCCTTTAATTTTTTGAAAAAAAATATTTCCAATTTCTTCAAGAGGCTGTCTTCAGTTTTCCTGGCAATATGCAAGTGAATCTGTAAACAGAAAAAAACAAAAAACAAAAAAAAGTAAAAAAAAAAAAAAAAACCTGAAGTTTCAGGTGACTCAACCTCCTTCATCAGAAAACAGAGTACAAGCATAATTTTATATTTGCTGCCCCTTACGATTCCAGCTTAATTCAAATCCATCGGTATTTTAAGTTCTCATCTAAAAGTTTCTGTAACTTATAAATTCCATATCACTTCATTTTAGAAAATATAACTCCAAGCAATCATCATCTTGCGGCCTCAGCCGAGATTGAACTCACCAGTGCAGTTAATAATCTTGTCAAATAGCTGAATTCTTGATGCTTCGCTAGGGCTATCAAGGGTGTTTTTATCGTGACACCAATACTAAATAGATTGCCAACCAAGGCTCAGAGAGACTCCATTCACTCTCCTCTAAGAGCAGGCTTGAATTCAGTTTTCCTTCTCCTAGACCAGTTGCCATCCAAGGCTATAGAACCCAGTCTGTCCTGCTATTTACCCATAGCTAGAGGAAGAAGAAAGATGATTCACACCTTTCCCAAGGGTGTTAGCACGCAAGTGAATGTAATGGATTCGACTGGAATTCGAACTCGGCTCTCCGATTCCCCAATCCAAGCCGATATCCATTACTCCACCGTGCCTCCTACATGTACATATAGGGTGTAACAGCAAAATTGTCCATCCCATAAAATGTTTAATATCTAATAATCCACTAAACTTATTGAGTTTTATTTTCCAGGTTTTCAGATAAGACAGCTAGCCGTCTTGACAGCATTTGTTGTAAGAATCATTGAAAGTCCCTTTTGAGTTATTCAGCTAGAAAGATGACAGTTTTGTGTCAGTCCCACTGTCTTCCCAAATCAGCAATGGTGAGAGGAAAAAGATCATTCAGGCTCACAGTAATGGTACCAATATTCACATTCTGGCTTCCATCTTCATATCAATTCAAGAACCAC